ATCAGTTTAATCTTGATCTGTAAGAGCAGATAAACGTTTTAGTTTCGTTTTTGGTGACTTTAGTTTCTCTTTTGAATTTTAACCTGGCTTGTTTAGATCAGTTCAAAACAATGGCCTTCTGTAACCCTCTCTCTGTTCTAAAAAACAAAACCCTGGCATTGTACTCCTGTTGTGTATGTAACTGAGGATGATTTAAAAGAAAAGGTTCTTTAATCTCTGTGTGTGTGTGTGTGTGTGTTGAGTCACAAGAGGACATCGGATCACAGAACTGGTGACACAGTGCTGGAAAGTGAACTCTGATCTCTGGAGAAGGCTTTTAACTGCTGAGCCTTTTCTCCAGCCCAGCTGAGGGTGATCCTCCTGCACCAGTGCCTGGGCTTAGAGGCATGCACTACCACACCACCAAGCTCAGTTTAATACAGTGCTAGGAACTGTATACAGGCCTTCATCTTTGTTAGGTGAGAATTTTACCAACTAGTGGTGGTGGTGGTGCATGCCTTGAATCCCAGCACTCAGGAGGCAGAGGTAGACAGATCTCTTCTATGAGTTCAAGGCCTGGGCTAGTTCCAGGACAGCTAGGGCTACACATAGAAATCCTGTCTCAAAAAAAAAAAAAAAAAAAAAAAAAAAAAAATCACTAACTAAACTACAACCCTAGCCTTTCATCATTTAACATTAGAAATAGCTCTTGGGAAAAATGGTTCTGAATAATCAAACTGGAAAACCTCAAGGTGGCTGCAATGGTACATATGCCTGTAGTCCTAGCTCTCAGCAGGTTGAATAAGAGGATCATAAGTTCATAGGCAGCCTGGACTACATATTGAGTTCCAGGCTAAACTGGGCTACACAGACAGATCCTGTTTCTAATAAATGAATAAAGTCATTTTGGCCTAGTGATGTTGCTCAGTAGTAGGATACTTGCCTAGCATTCTGGATCCCTGAATTCAATTTCCAGCATGGGGGAGGGGGACTTTTAATTTATATAAACATGTAGCAATTGAGAATACTTTTACTTTTGATCTGTTAAAGGATCTCACTTTGTAGATCAGACTAGCCTTGACCTTACAGAGATCCACCAGCCTGTCTCCTGTGGGCTGGGATTAGAGGAATGCTAAAAAAAACAAATCTTGAGAAATAAATGACTAAACAAAACCATTGAGCATCATAAACTTGATGGTACTCGCTGAATCCTTCCATGCTCTGCTCTACTCTGAATGAATTTGATTATTTTAGTGACTTTTTCGTCACTGGTTCTATTTGTGTTCTTAAGGAAAAAATGGTGTATGTGTTGCCTGGGATTGAATCCAGTGCCTTGTGCATAGTGGACACATACTTTACCAGTGAGCACCCTCCCTCATCCCTCAAGCCCTGGATGGCTGTGAGAAGCTTTCCAAAGTTTGGTTTTAGAGACAGTTAAATCTGAGTGTAAGAGTCACAGTGATAAAGACAGGAGAAGGGGGCAGTGTTTAGGGGAGGCACGATCAGGGCCCTAGGCTAAGGCAGTGTCACAGGGTACTGGGCTACCGGTGCTGGAGTTGGCAGGGAATGGATCTCTGAGTAAGGGGCTATCACCCCCATCACTTCCGCCTGCAATCTGTGGTTCTGCACAGTCACAGATCTGATTGGAAGGAGGGACAGTAGGAAGGGGCTTAGGAGGTTGCTTAACCAGCCTGCTCTTCCCTCATGCTCTTGTAGCAGAGAGAAGACACCAATGGATACATGGAATCTCTAAAAACAGTTCAGTGGAAAAGCATAGACTATGTGTTTTATACAAAACAGAATTGATGAAACATGTTTTACAAAATTTAAAAACTGACATGCATGAAAATATCAAAATGAGACCCATTATTTTGTATGTTAACTAAAGAGTAAGAATGAGACTGGGTGGTGGTGGCATATACCTTTAATCCCAGGCAGAGGCAGGAGGATCTCTGTGAGTTCAAGACCAGCCTGGTCTACAGAGCAAGTCCCAGAACATCCAGAGCTAGACTTTGTCTCAAAAAAAAAAAAAAAAAAAAAAAAAAAAAAAAAAAGGTTAAAGGTGAGAGTTCCTAGCTTGCAGTAAAATCAGGGTGCTATGTTTTGGTATGAAGAAAGATGCTGGAGTAGAAATTGCATTGGAGATTAGAAAGAGAATCTTTTGTCAAGATTGTTTTGCATTTAATTTTATGAGACAGAGCCTTATGTAGCCCAGGCTGGCCTTAATTTTACTGTGCTTTTGAATAGTTAACTATGTAAAAGATGTGTTACATTTGTTTATGTTGTGGGATATCACTTTAACTACATAAAAGTAGTACATTTGTTAATGATTCATTTGTTTAGTTAAGTAAAGATGAGTTGCTGTTTTTACCTTGCCTGCCTAAGGCACCTGGTTGGTCTAATAAAAAGCTGAATGGCCAATAGCTAGACAGTAGAGGATAGGCAGGGCTGGCAGGCAGAAGGAATAAAGAGGAGGAGGAATCTAGGCTTGAGAGAGAACTAGAGAGGAAAGAATGATAAAACTAGAGAGGAAAGAAAGGGATACCCTCAGGCCAGCCAGCCAACAGCCAGATCAAGTAAGACATACAGAATGAAGGAAAGGTAAAAGGCCCCAAGGTAAGACGTAGATGGAGAGAAACAGGTTGATTTAAGTTAGAAGAGCTAATGGGATAAGCATAAGATAGGGGTGAACATTCTCTGTCATGATTTGGGAACTGGTTGGTGGCCCCTCAAAAATCATGATACATTACTGTTTAGCCATGGATGCCTGAACTCCCAAGACTTACCTGTTAATATTCTCTCAACTTCCCAGCTGGCTTTTAAATGTTGCTCTTCAAGCTCTAGTTTATTTTCCCTTTCAGGCCTTTCCTGGCTAAAGTAAGTTATGACTAGTAAAGGGATAATCTATACCACAGCAGCAGACAAAGTACTGTAGCCTTTGTTATGTAGCTTGTGTATTGCATTTTGTTTCCTCAAATATACTGTAAGCATCTTAGCAGACAGGAATGTCAGAGTGTTTTAGGTTTCTGTAATATCCACTCAAGTAGGAGGGACAGATCTGAGACCAGATTAGACCTGAAGACCTCCATGCATCTTCCATAGTACAGAAGAGGGGGTACAGATGCTGGCTGGCAGTGAATGGAGCCCAGGGGCTAGAGAGGAAGCAAAGCTCCACTAAGTGAGCAGCCACCCTCCCCTCCTAAGAAGGGAATGTTACTTTCTGCCAGGTGTCAATTACAGATTTGAGCAAAAAGTTATTTAAACTGAACGTCCTGGAAATGGGCAAAGAAAAATATTACATTATCACTGGCTAAGAATATTTATTTAGGCTAGGCACATGCCTTTAATCCCAGCACTTGGGAGGCAGAGGCAGTAGGATCCCATGAGTTCAAGGCCAGACTGGTCTACAGAGCAAGTTCCAGGACATCCAGGAATGTACACAGACAAACACTGTCTTGAAACAACAACAACCACCAAATAAAACCCCAAGACAGAGTATTTATTTATTTATTCATTCATTCATTCTTCCCCTATTGAACTATTTATGACATTTTCAACTATATGAGGTTGTTTTTAACAATTTTAGCTCTTTAAGATTGGTGTGTGGTGGGTTGCAGACATGGCTCAGTGGTGAAGAGCGCTGACTGGTCTTCTGGAGGGTCTGGGTTCAATTCCCAACAACATGGCAGCTCACTACTGTTTCTAACTCCAGGATCCACCACACTCACACAGGCTTACATGCAGGTAAAACACCAATGTACACAACATAAAAATGAATAATTATATATATATAATATATATACATATACATATACATACATACATATATATATATGTACACACACACACACACACACACACACAAGATCGGTGTGTGTGTGTTCTGCTGGTGAAAAAAGGCATGGAAGACAGGTAAAAACCAAAAATGCTCTTTTGCAACCCAGAACTCATTGTTCAGTATTCGTTTTTATAGACATGAGAATGGAATATGATAGGTAACACAGCTCAAAGTGATGGTGTGGTTTTATGCTCCCATAGTAGATCCTGCTACTAGTGAGTGTCCTTTGGTCTCCTGCATACATAGCACAGCATATTCCTGTGAGACTGCATAGTCATGTCCACTCCTCATCTGAATTCTGCATACCATTCAGGACTTCACCAGAGTCTTGGAAGGATCACTCATCAAAGGAGTAGATATGTATCACAAAGGAACCCAGAATGCATTGTTCTATAGACATGCCTCCTGGAGCCCCATCTTGTATATGGTGAAGGTGTGTTGCTTTACCTACATGTGATGGACCTTATTTGTGCCTTTATGTTAGAAACCATTTTATACATTTGAAAAAGAAAGAAAGAAAAAAATAAGTATGGGGCATTACTTGGCTTCACTGGGGATAGGGGACTCTGGGAGCCTTAGTGATTTAGAAGTATATATTAGGGAGGTTTGGAGATAGCCAAAGCAAAAGCTGGAATATTTCAGTTAAGAAAGAAACATGGCAGCACTTTTGGTGATCTCAAGTGGGAGGCTACCAGGGGTCCCAGGCCATAAGCCATAGAGACCATAGGACCTGTGGGATGAGGCTCTGGGTTGGCTGTGATAAACTGCACACAGACAACAGAGCCACAAACATGGTGAATAGAACATGACACACAGTGCAGAAGAACCAGTTACCCTGGAAGGCAAGGGGCTTGTTACACGCATGTAACCGTTAGAGGTAAAAATACACCTGGTAAGTCAGAATGCCTTGAACTTACTCCAGTATCCTCAACTCATCTGCCTGACTGAAGTGCTATTTAATCCTTTCTTCTTCCTTTTTCTTCCTTTTTTGAGACAGGATTTCTGAAGCCTTGGCTAGTCTCTAACTCAAGGCAATCCTCCTGCCTCAACTTCCCAAATTCTGATTATTGACATGAGCCACCACACTGGGCTAAAAGGCTATTTCATTTCTCAGTGTTAGTCAGAATATTAAGATTCACATAAGTATTTATTTCAAAAGTAATATTTATAAAGCTCCAAGTGCTATTTGTTGCACCCCATTTATTAAGCCAAAAAACTTCAAGAATTTCAAGTTCATAAATTTAGCTCAACCAGATGGACAAAGAAGGGGACAGCATGGTTCTCAGTGACATCTCCTGTACAAGTACATGTGCTGTTGTATGAAGGCTTTCTTCTCACATTTCTGCATAACAGCCTCTAGATTCTCCAAGGTGGCTGATTTAACACCTTGGCTCTGAGGGTTGGTGCTCTGTTGCGCAGGTGGTGGAGTCAAGCTTCCAGGTCCCTTTCTTGCAGGCCTCCATGAACAACTTGGTGAGGCTCAGGTGAGCTGAGCAGTCTAAAGGTGGGCAGTCTACTTAAGGAGGAACCCCATTCTACATCAACTGTCCTTAGTAAGATTAACTGCCACAGCGCATAAGGGATGGTTAGTCCTTGAGGATACCCTAAGTGACTTCCTCTGGGAGTTTTTACCCCAGGAAGAAGCCATCTGGCCACTTCCCTTGTATTACATCTCTAAAAGCTGTTCCATTTCCTCCAACACTACTGTGAAGTCACTGACTTGATCCTTACATACGGTTTGCTGCTCCAGGAACCGGACCCTTTCTTCTTCTTTCGACTTCAACTTCACCTTCAAGGCCTGAAAGGGAAGGCATTCCAAAGGAAAACCCACAACAAAACTCTGGCCTCATAGGAGGACAGCACTCTGACCAGAATGTTACACCTGTGCTGCAGAGAGGAAGACCAGCCAAGCCAGACACTCAATTTCCTATCTTGGATCTTATCTGGGCTGGTTTGGGGAATTTTTTTCACTTCTGTATTTAAACTGGAGTGCTGAAATCCTGTGTCTCCTGCCCCATGGTTTCTCCAGGCAATCTAAAATCACACAGACCCAGTTTATTTTTAAGTCAGAGTCTTACCATGTAGACTAGACTTAACTAGACTGCCCCATGACAAAAGGTGTGTGTCCCCATGCCAGGCTTCTAATCTCTCTCCCTCTCTCTCTGTGTGTGTGTATCTGTCTGTCTGTGCATGCGCGTGCCTTGGATGCCTGTAGAGAGGAGAAAAGAGCATCAGACGCTCAGAGCTGGAGCTATGGAGTTATGGGATTGCTACAGGAGCAGCAGGCACTCTCAACTGTGAGCTGTTCCTCTCTAGCCCTGGAATGTGGATGTCCTGCTCAGGTCTCTTCACATCTTGACATACGCTTTCTAGCATGGATTTCACATAGTCTCAACTTTGAGCCTGCCGTGTGGACCACTGTTAAGTGTAGAGATGCCCTTCCCCAACCCAGGCTTTATCCCTGGGAACATTTCTGAGTTCTCAGGAACATAAAAAGAAAAAATTGTGGAGGAAAAGCATCTAAAACAGAAACCGATCTAGTAAAACTCCAGGAATTTAGTTAACAATGGCACACCAGTGTTGGTTTCTTACTGGTGACAAATGTGTAAGGGTTTGTGAGCTGTTATCCTTAGGGGAGCTGGATTTTCTGCATTATCTATGCAACTTTTCTATACATCTAAAATTTTTAGAAAATGGGCTTTTCTTTTGTTTTCATTTTGGTTTTTTTTGAGTTGGGGTTTCTCTGTGTAATAGCTCTAGCTGTCCTGGAACTAGCTCTGTAGACCAGGCTGGTCTTTGCCTCACAAGTGCTGAGGTTAAATGTGTTCACCACCCCCACACGGCTTAACAATAGTTTATTAAAAACAATAGGAGCCAAGCATGGGGACAGGTGAAATAGCTCAGTGGGTAAAGGTGCCTGCCACCAAGCCTGAGGACCTGAAGTTTGAGTCCCAGGTCCTGTGGCATGTATGGACCCACATACTTTCAGACATACATACATACACACACACTCACACATAATAAATAAATACTATAAAGGCAGAGGGAACTGGAGATGTCTCTGAAGTTAAGTACCCCCGCTCTTCCAGACAATTCAATTTTTAGTATCCATGTTAGTCAGCTCACATTGCCTATAACTCCAGTTCCATGGGATCCGAAGCCCTCTCATGTCTTCCACTGGTACTGTACATACGTGGCATACATTCACACTGACACATACTCACAAGTAAAAATAAATGTTTAAAAAAACAAAAAAAGAGCCAGACATGGTGACTCACACCCATAATATAGCACTTAAGGGGCTAAGGTAGGAAAATCACACTGAATTCAAGACCAATCTGGGCTACAGAGCAATACTCTATCCAAAGAGAAGAGTCAGGTGGTGGTGGTGCACGCCTTTAATCCCAGCATGGGGGAGGCAGAGGCAGGTGGATCTCTGAGTTCAAGGTCAGCCTGGTCTATAAAGTCCCAGGGTAACCAGGGCTGTTACACAGAGAAACCCCATCTCAAAACAAACAAGGAAGGAAGGAAGGGAGGGAGGGAGGAAGGGAAGGAGAGAGGGAGGGAGAACTAGAAAGATGGCTCGACAGTTAATAGCTGTTCTTGCAGAGGACCCAGGTTCACTTCAGTTCCCAGGACCCAACACGACAGCTTTTAGCTGCCTGTAACTCCAATTCCAGGGGAGCCAACACCCTCTTCTGACCTCCACGGGCGCTGTTTCTCATTCATACACTTAGGCAAAATTAACTTAAAAAAAAAAAAAAAAAAAAAAAAAGGAAAAGGAAAACTAGGGAAGAACTATCCCCCAATCCACAAACTAAAGTAAAAGTGGCAGCTCTGGGTGGGGTGCCTTACCTGTAACTCCGCCATCTGCTTCTTGGCAGTTTCATTGAAAGCCTTCAGCTCATCTTGTAAAGTTTCCAGCAGCAGCTGAAAGTGAAAGGAAAGAATATATAGAGAGAGCTGAGCCTGGGGTGGTGGCACAAGTCTTAATCCCACACTCAGGAAGCAGAGACAGAAGGAGATCTCTGAGTTCAAGGCCAGCCCAGGATCTCCACTGCTCCCCTCTGAGGAACCCAGCCCAGCAATGAGCCAGATTCTGAATAGATGCTGTTCTTAGGAACTGTTCCTCTATACCATAGACTCCTTTATCTACTGAGATAAAATTCCCCATGTCCAATATCCCATCATTTATTCAGGCAATATCTACAGTCCAGACCCAAGAAACTTGGTTTTTACTACAGGTCCCTTCCTGGAGATATCAAATTTATCTACCACAATATGCTCTGTGCTGCACAGACCTTAGGAGCAAACCCTACAGACTCAGAGAAAAGCCAGAGGTGGCTTTCTCGGCTGGCATTATGACAATCGATCTTAGGTTTGGGAGTCTTTATGCCCAGATAAACTACTTTTCTTTAGGGAATTCAAACAGGCTAGACCTTGGCATTATGAGTTGTCAGCAATGGGATAGGGAAGACATTTGAAGAAGTGTAGACGGTCTCTATACAAGTTCTCCCTATCAAAGGTTTTTGTGTGTACAAACATGTGCATGTGTGGTATGTCTGAAGTGTTGGAGTCAATCTTAATGTCATGTATACTAGGTAAGCACTCCACCATTGAGCCACACCCCAGATTCCGTGTGTGAGTGTGTGTGTGTGTGTTGTATATATGTGTTCCTTTGGCATATACACACACATGCAGCTACAAATGCTTGAGGCCAGAGATTGACATCAGATATCTTCATTATTGATTGCGTGAGCATGCTATAGCATATATGTAGTGATCGTGGACTGACTCTGTGGAGTAGGTTCTCTTCATCTACTTTTCCCTCCAGGAATCAAACTCAGGGTGATATTTGTACTGCAAGGACCTTAATCCACTGACCAGCCATCTTAAGGCATCTGCCCAGCCTCCCCCACATCTTAAACAGTTTTTAAAACACGTTTAATATGTTTATGAATACATGCATGCATGTACTGTGATATGTGTGTGGAAGCCGGTTGGCAACTTAGGGGAATTGGTTTCTTCTTCCCATCATGTGGGATCTGGGGATCTAATTTGGGTTGTGAGGCTTGTAGCAAGCACCTTTACCTATTGAGCCACCTCAACAGCTCTCCATTTGTCAAAAAACATTTATTTACATGTGGGAGTAATTCATACCACCATGTTGTGGTCAGGGGACAAACTGAAGGAGCCAGTTCAGGGACTGAACTCAGGTCATCAGGCTTGGCAAGCAAACACCTTTCCCTGCTAGCCCATTTCGTAGGTCCATCTTTATTTTTTTTGAGACCAGTTGGTAGGCTGGCAGGACAATGGCAGCCAGAGAGCCACCTGTCCCACCCCTCTACCACCCAGCTTTTACATGGGTGCTGAGGATCTGAACTTGGGGCCTCCTGCTTATATGGCAGGCACTTTACCATTGAGCCCTTTCCTCAGCCCACTCTGTGTTTTAGTATGTTTTTAGTTCAGAGTCACTTATATCTACCTACCTGTGAGGATATAACTACCTTTCAAGTAAATATGCTGCAAGTACACACTCCATTTCTCTCATCTAGTATCATGAACAACCAAAGCCAAGCATCTTTACATTTTCAGAGCACAAAACACAGATCTTAGCTCCTGCTGGGTGATGGATCAGTCTGACCCATTTTAAGATTGAAAGCAGTCAGCTAGGCGGTAGTGGAACACACCTTTAATCCCAGCACTCGGGAGGCAGAGGCAGGCAGATCTCTGTGAGTTCGAGACCAGCCTGGTCTACAAGAGGTAGTTCCAGGACAGGCTCCAAAGCTACACAGAGAAACCCTTGAACCCCACCCCCACTCCCCAAAAAAAGATTCAAAATCATCTTGTTATAAGATCAAAATAAGTTCATTCCTGCTTTTGGTAAAATTTGGATTTGACCAGGCCTTGACCCATTTTCTGTACTCTGACCTGTCCACACCCTATACCCTGATCTTCACCCTGATAAGATGTTCTGCCAAATAATTTTGAAATGTTCAGCCAAGTCCTGTGCAACCAAAATTCCTCTGGAAATTCTCCAACCCTTGAGAGTCCCCTAATCTTGCAGTTTTGGTGGCTGTATAAACTTCACTGTCTCCTATGATCAATGCTATTTTCTCCAACCCTCCTTTAGGGGGATAGCCCTGTCTAACAGAAAATAAAGCTTAATTTGACCAAAGACTTTGGTAATGTATTTACTCTTATTTGGTGAGATCAACATTAGGCCCTGGCTGAGGGCCTACCAATCCACACTCTTGCCCTCACCATGGAGTCCGTGTGATCTGTAGTAGGTTCCCGCTGTGATGTCAGGGTCTCAATGCCTAAAATGGATAGATACAACAAAGTCAGCCTCACATGGGAAGTACACCGTAACCAGAGGGAAAATAGCCTCCATGGACAGTACAGGCATTATTTTTGAGGGAAGCCCCTCAAATGCCCATTCTGGAAGCTTTCCCCTGACCATGTCTTTCATGGCAGCTCTCAGAGCTGTATTTTCTCCAAGGCTGTCTCTCTAGGTTTGCAAATGGCCAGAGTCTATTCTGTTCTGCTTCTCCCTGGAGAAACTTTGTTGGGAGGAAATGCATGTTAGTTTTCATTTTATTTACAATATAAAAAACTACTTTAAAAATTCTTTCAGGCCTTAAAAGGCATTATCTTTGGTAACTGCAGTTGTTTGAATAGGAATGGCCCCCACAGGCTCATATTTTGAATGCTTAGTCACCAGAGAGTGTCACTATTTGAGAAAGATGAGGAGGCAAGAACTTGTTGGAAGAAGCGTGTTACCCATGCCAGGTCTAGTCTCTTTTCTCTGCCTCTCTGCCTATGGATCATGATCTAGCTCTCAGCTACTAGTCCAGGACCTGCCTGAATATTATCATCCTTCCAAGATGGGACTTAGCCTCTCAAACTCTAAGGAAGTCCCCAATTAAATACTTTCTTTAGCCACAGTGTCTTGTCACAGCAATATAGCAGTGACTAAGACAGTAAATGTATGCATATAGTAAAGATAGTGGGCTAGGTGCGTATTCCCTACCTTTTAACTCCAGCACCTAGGAGACTGAGGCAGGAAGAGTCAATGTTCAAGGTCAGCTTGGGTTATCTAGTAAGGCCTTGTCTCAAAGACTTTGCTCCCCCATAAATCTATTCTAGTACCAGGGAATTCAATATTTTCTTCTGGGTGTTGGTGATGCACACCTTTAGTCCCAGCACTTGGGAGGCAGAAGCAGGTAGATCTCTGTGAGTTCAAGGCCAGCCTGGACAAAAAGCAAGTTTCAGGATATCCAGGGCTATTACACAGAGAAACCCTGTTCTGAAAAAACAAAAAAACTAACCAAACAAAAAGAATCCCCCCCCAATGTCCTATACCCCCAAACAGACCGTACAACTGGGTCAGAGGGTGTAATAAATGCTGGCACATGGCAGGCCCTGGGTTCCATCTCTAGCACAGAGTCAGTATTCCTTAATTCAAAGAGGCCCAAGTTCCTTTCCTGGGCAGTCTCTGGCTCTTCAGTGTAGCCTGAGGTCATCTCAGTCTTTGGACAAACTCTCTTCTTGGGGGTGGGTACTGGGGATAGAACCCAAGGTCCTCCACATCCCCTTTCACTGAGCTCTACCCTACGCAGGGGCCACATTATTCCAGGCACTGTGAAGAAGCCAAGTCAGGAACCATGAGACAGAATTTTCCCTCTAGTCACCTGAGCAGGCTACCTTGTAAGCTCTATCTGCCCTGGAAAGAAACACAATGTTTCTGGTCTCTTTGCAAGCTCATACCTGCTGGTACCCAATGAGTGAAGCAGTACTCAGCTCAGGGAGAGACGTGACTCTCTACAGCCACCTGAAATCCTATTAGTCAGGCAGAAATGGACGTTTCCTAAGGACATGAAGGCAAAGACTCCTTGCTGCCAACATAGCCCCAGGAGGGGCACCTGTGCTGCTTCAGACGGCAGTTGTGTGCTGTCACTTACCAGGGCTGAGGCTTTTGCTCTCCAAAATTGCTAAGCAGTTATCCTGAAACTTCTCCAGCAGCTCTACTTTCTGTGTCAGGTCCTTCAGTTCTCCCTAGGGAGAGGCGTCCTGTAAGTGGCAGGTCTTTCTTGCTTGGACTCTGGGTGAGCTCACCACAGCAGGAGGAGCCTCTTTTCTGTCTGCAGTGGTCTGCTTGCTCCCACCCAGCAGGAGTGCACCCAGGGACGGCTGATGAGCTTCATACCTGAGTCTCTGCCAACTTCTGGTGTAACTGCTTGTTGACGGCCTCCAGGAGCTGGTTTTTATCCTTTAGTTCCTCCTCTGGTTTTTGCTTATTCAGTGGTTTGTAGCTAAGATAAATTGTAATAACAGGATGGGGTGGAGGGTTTTGGAGTACATGCAGATGAGTTATTCAAATGGGTTCCAATCCTGGCTTCCTGACACTGGCCTGTAACCTGAGGCTGTTTCTCCTCATTTCTAGAATTAAGACAATACCTTCATTTCATACCACTGCTACAAGACAGAGAATCCATGGACAGTGCTTAACATCTGCTGGCATGTGGCAAACGTAATCAACAGCTGTCATCCTTGATATTAAACCTTCAGTTTGAAGATCCTGAGTTTTCAAAAACGTGTGTGTGTATGTGTGTTGTGTACATGTGCATGCATATGTAGTAGACAGAGCAGGACTCTAGGAATCTTTCCCTATTACTCTCCACTTCATTTCTTTGAGATAGGATCTCTTAAGTCTGAAGCTCACCTAGACCACCAGCAAGCAAATTCCCAGGATCTACCTGCTTCACTCTCCTAATTCTGAAGCTAAGGGCAGGTATAGCCATGCCCAGCTTTTTACAATGGTGTATGGGGATTCTGAGGCCTTCATACTTACACAGCAAGTACTGTCACCCACTGAGCTACCTCTCCAGCCACAAACCTTTGTGTGTGTGGGAGCGTGTATGATTTTTAAATAGTTTCCCCTTATGCCTTAGGGTTTCTATTGCTGGGATGAAACATCATGACCAAAGCAATTTGGGAAGAAAAGGGTTTGTGGGGCTTATGCTTGCAGATCACTGTTCATCACAGAACAGGAAACCAAATAGGACAGGAACCTGGAGGCAGGAGCTGATGATGCAGGCCATGGAGGGGTGCTGCTTACGTGGCTTGCTCTGCCTGCTTTCTTAGAGAACCCAGGACCTCCAGCCCAGGGACAGCTCTATCCACCATGGGTGTGCCCTCCTCCATTGATCACTAATTAAGAAGAGGCCTTACAGGCTTGTCTGAAGCCCTGTTGTCTGGAGACATTTTCTTCAGTTGAGGCTCCCACTTCCCACTTGATATAAAACTAGTCAGCACACCCTACACCTGGTTGGCCTGGAATGTAGCTCAGGATGGCCTTGAACTTGTGGCAATCCACCTTAGTTTTCCATGTACTTCTATTACAGGCATAATCTAACACATCTAGCAAGAAGCTGTTTTGGGGTGAGGGGTGTTGCAGGATATTTGATTATACTGTAAACCCCAAGATCCAGTAATTTACTGGAAAAATCTGTTTCAAGTTGTGTGGCTCAGCCCTAACACACACCTTTAATCGAGGAGCTTTCTGCTAGAACACTGTAACAGGATTAAATAAAGTAAACCATAGGTCATGAGGCGAAGCAAGCACCCAGTTGACAGAAACTGAACATAGGATTATTAAGAAAACAAAACAAAACAAAAACAGAGTAAGAGGGAGTCAGGAGGACAGAGAGAGATGCACAGGAAGGGAAGTTTGAATTTTGTTTGAGGTGGCATAGAAGAGGGATCATTTCGGGGACGATGGAGGAGCAGGGTCAGCTGGGTGCTTTCTCTGCCTCTCTGAACTAGCAGGCTTCCACCCCAGCAACTGGCAAAATCGAACTATTGAGATTTTGATAGAAACCACCCCCAAAAACAGAGGGGAGCTGTCAAAATGGTTCAGTGGTTAAGAGCATGAACTGTTCTTCCAGAAGATCCAAGCTCATATCAGGCAGCTCACTACTGCCTATGATTCCAGCTCCATCTGGATCAGATACTCTGCAGGCACCTGCATTTGCATGCACATGCTCTCATGCATGCCGAGCACACGCACGCACACGCGCGCGCACACACACACACACACACACACAGAGTTTAATAAGTAAAGTTAAAAAATAAAATTTTAAGCCTTGGGGTTTCCTGTCAAGATGATGGTACCACTGATCCTTGCCCTAATGCTGGTTCTTACACCTTGTTGTAGCTTACCCCCCAAATTCCATTCAGGTATATGGCATGGTACCCAAGACTTAAACACAGCAAGCAAACCTAATGTGACTGTTATCTGCATCCACACCTGAGCCTCCGCCCTCAGTCTACCCCATGCTCATGTTATCTGTATCCACACCTGAGCCTCCACCCTCAGTCTACCCTGTGCTCATGTTATCTGCATCCACACCTGAGCCTCCGCCCTCAGTCTACCCCTTGCTCATGTTATTTGTATACAGACTTGAGCCTCCGCCCTCAGTCTATCCCTGCTGTTATCTGTATCCACACCCGATTGAGCCTCTGCCCTCAGTCTACCCCATGCTCATGTTATCTGTATGCACACCTGAGCCTCCACCCTCAGTCTACCCCATGCTCATGTTATCTGTATCCACACCTGAGCCTCTACCCTCCGTCTACCCCATGCTCATGTTATCTGTATCCACACCTGAGCCTCCACCCTCAGTCTACCCCATGCTCATGTTATCTGTATGCACACCTGAGCCTCCACCCTCAGTCTACCCCTTGCTCATGTTATTTGTATGGACTTGAGCCTCCGCCCTCAGTCTATCCCTGCTGTTATCTGCATCCACACCTGAGCCTCCGCCCTCAGTCTACCCCATGCTCATGTTATCTGTATCCACACCTGAGCCTCCACCCTCAGTCTACCCCTTGCTCATGTTATCTGTATACAGACCTGAGCCTCCACCCTCAGTCTACCCCATGCTCACCTCTTCCTGATGTTCTTCCTGCTGGCAGGCTCTGCAACTCTCACTTGCCTACAGAAGCAGAATCAAAGCTGATCAGAGAACCACAGTGCTGGGTGCTATGAATGAGGTACAACAGAGGGCTTGGCTTCACTACTGTTTGGAAACAGGGTTTGGACGCCCAATCCTCCTGCCTCAGCCTCTCCAGTTCTGGGATTACAGGTGTATGCTACCACACCTGGTTTACGAGATTTGAGTTTCTGAGAAAAGAACCAAAGTAAACAGTAAACAGCACAGGCTGAGGGCCAGAGGGTCCATGCTTGTTGTGGGATATTTGTACACTATGTGAAGATGCATTGCTGTGATTGGTGTAATAAAAAGCTGAGTGGCCAATAGCTAGGCAGGGGGTAGGACTTCCAAGCAGAGAGAAGTAGGAGTCGTTGCTTGCAATTTCACGAGCAGACTTGGAGCAAGTTGGATGTATAGTACTAAGAAGAGGTAACTGAGACACATGGTAGAATTTAAAAAGTATGGGCTAATTAATTTATAAGAGCTAGTTAGGGAAAAGCCTAAGCTAAGGCCAAGCTTTCATAATAAATAACAAGTCTCTGGGTCATTATTAGTTACCGGCTGGCGGTCCAGAGATAGTTCGATAAGAAAGCTTGCTACTCATGCATGCTGGTTTCAACTGGTGTGGGAAGATGGCTTTTTATTAAGGAAAGGGGCCTTAAGCACACCAACAACCTGACTGCAAGCACTCTGGCACTGAGCTCCCCATACCTCTAGCAAGATGCCAACCAGATGCCAACATCTGCTCTTACCCATTCTCTCTCCTTGGTTTGGTGACTTTTAGAACATCAGGATCTGAACCTCCTGGATGAAGATGTTTAAACACATCAGCTTCTTTGCACTTAACAGGTAGCTTAGAAGTAGCTCGAGTTTGTGCATCTGGAAGGGAAAACAAGAGTGAATCACAGCATCTTGCCCTAGCAGCTGCCACCCTGTGCTATACAGAGCTCCCTTATGAGCTATCACAAGCCCTTGTTTTCATTCTGTACACATTCAGTAAAGGAATTGAGGTTGATTCCAAAGACAAGGACTCTATGCTAATTGGCTTTAGAAACTAAGATTCTTTTTTACTTTTTGGAGATATGATTCTTTATATCCTAGTAGCCTTGATCTAGATATGTGGAGACTGCTTGTGACTTTCAGTGATACTCCTGACTCTGTCTCCAAAGGCTAGGATTGCAGGTGTGCGCTAACACACATAGCTTCAAAATCCATTATAAGTCATAGCTTAGTGTACCTGATGATATATCCAACTGACAGGCTACAGGTATTTGAATACGGAGGTCAATACAAGCAAAGAGCCAGAGGAAATGCCGAGTTAGTAAGGAGAACCCTGCTGGAGCTGACCCGTCTCAAGGTTCCCATACCCAGTGTCCTAAGACAACATCTAGCTATCTTCTCTTAAGTGTTGTCTAGTTTCACCAAAATGTCTCCCTAACCACTCAGAGACATCGTTACATCCTGCTGCCTAGTAAAGGATGTAAGCGGACGAGATAGAACACATCAGCTATATACTCTGGTGTATATATACACACTGCTGGTGTGAACAATTCTCTCTCCTCTTCCCTGTGCCAGGCTCTTGCCCTTCAACAGCGCTTTTCCTTTGTTGGCCCTTTATTAAACCCAAGAGGTTCCTGTTTGGCATTCCTGCTCATCTCCCTGTTGGGCCAGGCTGGGTAACTCATCCATCCCCACCATACATGTCACTTAGCATACATGTTATACTAGCGTTTACATGACATAGCACCTGCCGTGCCCTACCCCCAAGCCTTTCTACTTCTTTCCAGCTCAGGGTTTTCTAGATTATATTAACCCCACTTTGTTCACTGTAAAATGGCTATACTAATTAAATAATTAAGTTGAAGAAACGACATATAAAGTGCTGGGTCACATTGCAGGGTACTTTGTATTTGATAAAAATTTTATTCAAATAACTTGCTCCACAATAAAGTAAATATATAATACCTCAGGTTAACGAATTTGTTTGTAAGTACAACTTACAGGGCACCAGAACTCTAGTTTTAATATTCATAACACTATGCAAATATTAAATGGGTTCTTTGGAGGTATCTTTTAGAAAAAAAGTTATTTTGTGCTACTATCTTGTCTTATCTCAAGTAGTATTAAATGCAATAATATATCTAATCCATGTAAAAGAGTTCACAGTAAATTGGAAAAAAAAACAACTAATTCAATAACTGCTATCAGCTCCAACAATCTCTTTCTGCTGAGCAGGGGACTGCACTGTAGGAAAAAGTCAGTAGAACTTAACCAAGAGTGTCTTCTAGAGAAGACACTCAGGAGAATTGGATGGCTGACGTAAAGAACACTTGAATCAAACTTGTTGATTCAAACCCCTCCTGGAAAGGTCTTGCCATACAGCCCCAGCCTGCAACTCACTATATAGACCAGGTTGGCCTGGAATATGCATTCATCCTGTCGCCTCGAACTCTGGACTGCTGGGATGATAGAGTACAGCACACCCAGCTTCATTGTTCCTTTGAGTGGAGGCTGCCTAAAAATCTTAAAACTGTTTTAGTTATTGTGATCATTAAATCGGGACAGGTCTTACAAGTGGAGATGAAAACTTGGGGTTTGTCTAGGAAGGCTGTCACTGGCAGCTATTCAGGGACACTGTGAGGGAGGGGACAAGACTGGAGAGGTCTGCACATCCTGCCTTCCACTCCTTAAGCAGTGCCTCTGCTGATGAGGATGTTTTGAGGAAAATGGCAAAGAGACTAACCCTTTAAACCTGGTAGGAAAGCCTATCTTACCTTAGAGGCCAATCTTGCCTGTCACTGCTCTTCAACCAGCTATATGGATTTGGAAAGTGATGGTAAAGGCTGTCCTGAAATGGCAAACAGCTGTGGGGTGCCAGGGCCATCTTCTATGCTATAATATTTTTTTGTTTTGTTTTGTTTTTGTTTTTTGAGACAGGATTTCTTTGTATTGCTTTGGAGCCTGTACTCTGTAGACCAGGCTGGACCCAGGCTCACAGAAATCTGCCTGCCTATGCCATCCGAGTGCTGGGGTTAAAGCCATGACCACCAACACCTGGCCGGCCGGCCGGCTGCTATATTCTTTACATTAAGCAGTACAGCCACTACAGAGCCCACCAGATGGCTTTCAACCACAAGAAAACTACCAGGACAGAAATGCAACTACAAATTGTTTTGGTCATGCCTCCCTTCTCTCAAGGTTCTCAGTAACTCAGGCTAGGACAGGGTCTTCTCTCACTCTACTTAACATATAGTGACTGTGTTCAGGAGAGCCACTGTGCACCTGTTAATGTGAACAAGGCATCCTGGGGCTTTCTCCCCACTATCCCCACTACTCCTCAGAGGATTCTCTTATCTGACAACAAACTCACACCTGCAAGACAACCAACCCTAATTTGGAAATAGAAAGGTTAATTGCATAAAAAGTGATTTCTAGGGCTGAAGAGATGGCTCAGCAGTTTAGAGGGAGAAGTACTCTTCCAGAGCAATGAGGTTTGATTCCATGACCCCTATCAGGTGGCCCACAACTGCCTTTAACTCCAGCTGTATAGGATCAAGTCCCCTGACCTTACTTGGGCACCTATTATTACATGCAGAAGCATCCTGTTCTCCCCCCCCCCATTTAAATAAGTCTTTAAAACAGAGTTCTAGAGAGGCAGGTGTGGTGGCAGTGAGCACGCCGGGGCTGAAGCAGGAACTGTGGCAAAGTTAATGTTACCCAGAGCTACATAGTGAAAACCTAGTTTAAAAAGAAAAGTGAGTCCATGCACCGGGCCTGATGACACATGCCTTTAATTCCAGCACGCAGGAGGTAGACTTAAGATCTCGAGTTCGAGGCCAGCCTGGCCTATATAACGAGTCCCCCAAGCCCCCCACTACATCACACAAAAAAGCTATTCTTAAACAACCACCAACAATTTGGATCTAACTGGAAAAAACAGAAGGGGGTGGGGTCTGGGGTAGGAACTGGGACTCTTTCTCAATTCGTCATCAGCATACACAGCCTGGTTTGGGGTGAGGAGCAGGTACGTAGGCGTCAGAGCTAACCGAACGCCGCCCCAGCATACAGATTTCGATCCTTTACTCCTAGTATGGTCCACGGAGCCCCGGCCGGTGGCGGTGTGGACACCCACCTGTGGTCAGGCCGCCGCTCGGCATCGAGTGGGGCTGTGTGTCGCACGCCGTCTTAGCACTGGCCATCGTAGCCAAGTGGCTCGGCTGGGCCCTGGAAGGTGCAAGTTGGATTATTAGCAGCGCCGGGGTAATGCCACGCCAGCCGGCCCGTCTGCCCGCACGCAGCCCAGCCCCGGGCCCGCAGAGCCGAACCCAAGCTCCAGCCGCTCCTGCCCGCAGTCTTCTTCGTTCCCTTTCAAAAGACGCTCCGCAGCAACCGCCCAGCCTTCGGCAGAGCTTGCCGCCACGCTTTCAAAAGGAAACTTCCGGGGGCTGGGCGAGAGGGGGCGTGGCTCCGGGTCTGTAGGCGGCCCTGTTGTACGGAAGACTTTCTCCGGCAATACGGCCGCGGGAGCCGCCATGCTGTACGGAAGGTTCGAGCCGCTTGCCCGAACCCGCGGGTCTCGGCCGGTCAGGGATGCACTTGGCAGGCTTGAATTGTGCTAGTGAGCCACTGTGTCACATTCCTGGGTGGAGGCGGAAACGTGAACTTTCTTAGCGTCCAAGTCACAATCCTCTTTGTTTTTGATTGTTAAGGATCCTACCAGGAGTACAGGTGACCTGAATAAAAACTACCAGATACGGGGTGAAGTATGGCAGAACCTACCTGAAGGACACCAGTGGGCTGAAATACTTAACAAACCGGCATCCGGATTTAATTAGAAATTAAAGTTACTCATACAAAACAAAGAATTCTCAGTCGTTTCGTTAAAAACATACATATTGAAGGAGCATCAGCTATGTGGATGGGTTAGGGAAAGCAAATATCAGGACTGACTTTAGCTCTGCCATCTTGGAGTTCACAATCTAGGAAAGACACTAAGCACATAACTGCAAATACACATTTACCATCCATGGTAAGACAATGAAGGAAAACCACAAAATGCTATAAGAGAGAAAAGCCAGTAAGAGTTTAAAATTGGGGAAAACAGTTTAAATTGAGAAGCTTGAGGCCCTGGTGGTTCACAACCATCACTAGGGAGGGCTGCCTCTGGGAACTGCTCTGTCTTGGAGATCAGCCTGGGCTACATGTGAACTCCAGGCCAGTCAGAGCTACAGAACAGTAAAATTTTGTTTAAATAAATAAGATTCAGTGTAGGTGGATATTTATGCCTGCCAGCTGCTCAAGAAATATTGATTATAAATTCATTATAAATGCTTGGTTGTTAGCTTAGGCTTATTTTAAACTCGCTCTTCCAACCAATTACCCTATTTCAATGAATCTATGCGCTGTCCCTAGACATTTCTAACTCACTTGCATATTTCCCATCCTGCTTGCTTTGCATCTCGTGGTGTCTCTCGAGACCTTACCTTTCTTCCCGGCATCCTCCTAGTCTGGCTATCTAGCCCCATCTTTTCCTGCCCAGCTCTAAACCAGTCAGCTCTTTATTAACCAATGAGTGTAATACATATTTACAGTGTACAAAGGCTGTTCCACAGCAATTTCAGTGTGTGTGGTTTGGTCAACATCAGAGTTAGTTAATCTCATGATCACTGAGAAGTGCAAAGTTCTAAGGCAGAAATGAGTTTTTCTCTTCATGGAACTGAAAGATAGGAGAAATGTTCAGATCACACAGGGGGTAAGAATTAAAGGGGGCCCCTTATGGTATCACAAGCCAGTAGGGTTTTCTGAAAAGGTGGAGCCAAGAGATCAGATTTTGTTGTTGTTGTTTATTTATTTATTTATTTATTTATTTATTGGTTTTCGAGATAGGGCTTCTCTGTGTAACAGCCCTACCTGCCCTGGAACTTGCTCTGTAGACCAGGCTGGCCTCCAGTTTACAGAAATCCACTTGCCTCTGCCTCCTTGGTGCTGGGATTAAAGGTGTGCACCACCACCACCTAGCCAAGTGTTGTTTTTAACTGAGTCTCTATCATTCTATTTTATCAATAAAGACTCAGAAGCCAGATGCTGGGGTGAAAACCTGCTAGCTCAGAGAGCAGAGAAAGCACCCGAGGGTTAGGGTTAGGGTTAGGGTATCCATCTTCCTAGAGAAAGAGCTTTCTCCCATGTTGTCTCAAACAAAACTCCAACTGGATGTCCTTCCCTTCTACTTCTGGTGGATGTCTCTGTCCTCCTGACTTCTTCTTACTCTCTATGGATTTTCCCCCCCTGTAGGTTGGTTGCTTGTTCCACCTCATGACCTATGGTTGATTTTATTTAGTTCTGTTTACAATGCTCAAGCAGAAAGCTTTTGGATTAAAGGTATGTGCTACACCACAGCTAATGTAAACATATTTTTTTGTTGGGACAGCTAGGTGCCCAATAACAACACAGAGACATTATTACTTGTGAAAACTCAGCTGAAAGCTTAGGCTTGTTTCTAACTAGCTCTTACAACTTAAACTGGCCCATATCTTTTAGTCAATGTTCTTTTATATGGCTCATTTACCTTTAATCTGTACTCCCCATCTGGCTGTTGACTCTGCCTTTTCTCTCCCCAGAGCTCTCTGCCCAGAAGTCCTGTCTAGTCTCCTGCCTAGCTATTGGCCATTTAGCTTTCTACTAAACCATTCACAGTAACACATCTTCACAGGGTGTAAAGGAATGTTCCACAACAGCTAGAAGCAAGTTTTTCCAGTAAATACCACAATCTTGGGATTCACAGTGTGATCAAATATCTTGCAACAATCAGGAGTTTGGGGCCAGAAGTGGTTGGCAAAGAGTTCCAGGCCAGTCCTGGTTATGTACTGAGACCCTGTCTCAAAGGTAAAGGAAAGAAAAGGAGAAAACTGTATGTGGAGTTTTTTTGTTGGAACCAAGGGTCTTTTTTGTCCTGCCAGCCAGCTCCTAAATTACCACACAGAGGGGCTTGAGAGATGGCTCAGGGGTTAAGAACACTGATTGCTCTTCCAAAGGACTTGGGTTCAATTCCCAGCACCGACATGGCTGCCTGTAATTCCAGGGAACCTGACACCCATGGCAAAACACCAAATAACCACACAGAGACATTAATTATAAATGTTCAGCCAATAGCTTAGGCTCATTACTAGCTAGCCCTTACATCTTAAACTAACCTGTTATCTATGTTCTACCAAGTGGCATGGTATCTTATCTCAGTATGGCATATTCTTCTCTTGCTTCCTCTGTGTCTGGCTCTTGACTCTTGACTCTGCCCTTCTTCTTCCCAGCATTCTCTCTGCTCTGAGAATCTTGCCTAGCCACAGGTTGGCTGTTTATTAGCCAATGAGGATAATACATATTTACAGTGTACAAAAAGATTGTTCCAGAGCAGAAAATGGTCTCCTTTGAAAGCCAAGAAATTGGAGACGCCAGTTGGAAGGATGGGAGAAGGGAATTGAGGGTTTTGTTTTGAACATGGAAAACTTGAAATGCATTAAGATATTTCCATGGAGTGGTCATGTAGGAGGCTAGGTTGGAGACACACTCAACCTTTCATACCCCCAGGTCCTACATGCATGACTTTTAACCAACTTTTGAAAGTATGTGGAGGGGAACTGCATGTGTACTGAAAGCATATACAGACCCCTCTCTCTCTCATGCTGTGGAACAATTTTCTACACTGTGAATATGTATTCCTCTCATTGGTTAATAAGAAGCTAACAGGCCAGTAGCTGGGCAGGAAGTTAGGTGGGAGAGCCAAACAGAGAGTGATGGGAAAAAGGGGGGCAGAGTCAGGGAGATGCCAGCCAGCCACCCAGGAAGCAAGACATGCTAGAGGACAGGCAAAGCCACAAGCCACATGGCAGTACACTTACAGTTGAAAAGAAGTGGGTTCTTTTGCTGGGCATTGGTGGCACACACCTTTAATCCCAGCACTCAGGAGGCAGAGTCAAGCGGATCTCTGTGAGTTCAAGGCCAGCCTGGTCTACAGAGTGAGTGACAGGACAGGGTCCAAAGCAATACAGAGAGACTCTGTCTCAAAACAAACAAACAAATAAACACCACCAAAAGAAAGAAAGAATGAATGAATGAAAGAAAAGAAGAAAAGGCTTCATTTAAGTTGTAAGAGCTAGTTAGTAATAAGCCTGAGCTATTGACCGAGCATTTATAATTCCTATTCAGCCTCTGGGAGCAGGCACTCCGGACAGGAAGTTTACTCCCTCCCTCTCTCCTCCCTCTCCTCTCTCCTCTTTTGACAAGCCCTCATTATACAGCCTTGGCTGGCCTGAATCACTAATAGACCTGACTAATAATGTACTTGCAGAAATCCACCTGTCTCTACCTTCACTTTTGGAGTACTGTGTTGCCAGATTGTTGTGGGATATTTTGATCAAATTGTGACACTCCAGTATAGGTAGACTTTCTCTGTATCCCAGCGGTCACTCTCAAATAACCACACAGAGGGTTACTATTAATTATAAATGCTTGGCTAAAGGCTCAGATTTTAAATTAACCCATTTCTATTAATGTGTATTCTGCTATGTGGCATTACCTCTCTTTCATCTTGCACCTCCTGTTTCCTCTATGTGTCTTGCTGGTGACTCCCCTGACTCCATCCTTCTTTTTCCCAGTGTTCTTAGTCTGGTTTTCCTGCCTAACCTTATCCTGTCCAGTTACTGCCCAGTCAGCTTCTTTATTAAACCAATCACAGTGACATATATTCACACAGTGTAAGGGAATAGTTGACATTCTAGACTGTCAATAATGTTTACTTTGAATCGGGGAGCAGAGCCAGTGACTAGCTGACTGAATTAGCCACAGAAGCCAGAAATTTGGATAAAGAAGATGCACAGCAAGGAAAGGGCAATTAGATTTTGAGCTTTTTGTTTTGTTTTGTTTTGTTCTAGGACAAGGCAAGAGATGCATCTCTTGCAGCATCTCTGGCCAAAAAAGCAAGGTCAGCTAGTTGCTACTCACCCTCTCTGAGTTAGCAGATTTTCACCTCAGCCTTTGAGTCCTGAGTCTTATTCATAAATAGAATGATAGAGACTTGACTTTGGGTCTGTGGAGCCACAGACAATAATTAAAATATCAGTATATTCATGTTCAGCTGCTAAGCTGACAGAAAAACATCATGAGATATTAGTTTACACTGTGTGAAGATATATAGCTGTAATTAATTTAATAAAGAGCTGAAGAGCCAATAGCTAGGCAGGAGAGAATAGGCAGGACTTCTGGGGAAAGAGAGGAACTCAGGAAGAATTTAGACACGTAAGAGATGCCAGGAAGACACTAAGAGAGTCAGACATACAGACTGAAGGAGAGGTAAAGAACCATGTAGATTAATATAGAATGTAGATTAATAGAAAGAGGTTCATTTAAGTTGTAAGAGCTAGTCAGGGAGAGAAGCCTAAGCTAAAGGCCAAGATTTTATAATTAATAATAAGTCTCCATGTCATTATTAGGGAGATAGAAATCTAACAAGAAGGTCTGGTTACAGTAGTGGGGCTAAAGGCA